AATATCTCATACACGTATATCATGATAATTATAAATGATTATAATGGTGATTTCGCAACGTCTGAATATTTTAATAAAACTGATATAATAGAAAATAAATATAAACACCAAATCAATTCAGATTTACTTTAAAGTGTGTTGATAAGTCACGAAGCAAGAACTATTCAGACTGCCCGCTCGACTGCACCTGAAACGGTCGTTCAACATTCATCCTTAGTTTGCTTGGGATTCAGGAGTTGATATTTATTGCTTATTCATAACATACTCGTTTGCGAGCACGTCACATATTCACTGCGGTATACCGTACCCCGGATATTGCTCAATATTATGAGGACTTTCATCCCATTTCGCGACTTTGAACGGGGAACGAAGGTAAGTTCAGCAACGATTTTTTCCAAACTAATGGCTATTTCATTTATCTAAACGGGTTTTATATATCTAGAGGTATTTTTGTAGCTCTAAAAGACATAAAAGTATTACAGGTATTTGTGAAATTGATTAAACTACCCCTAAACGATCCGCTGCTCACTAGAAAAAACTGACCGCGATACTGTAGAATCGTTAGAAATTATTTTATAACCAATTTTAAAAAAAATTGAATCGAGCAATTTTTTTATTCACAATCCAAGTATGCTTTGTCCAAATTTCAGGCAAAAAGTGTGAAAGTACAAAAAGATACAGGCCAAAAAAGATACAAGAAAGTGTACCGAGTATTGATTTTAAGTGTACAGAGTATTGCAAAATAGCCCAATTTAAGTGTACAGTGTATTGCAAAACAGAATGAGCACATTAGTATGGAAAATCGATATTTTTGTCTATTATTTTTGTCTATTTTTACGTCTGTTTATCGATTCCATCTTATTTTGCTGATAATGTACTGTTGATATGATATTTATTCAAATATTTCAGATTCAACAATGCATTTTCAGTGTTATTACTGTTCTTTTTCTACGGGCAAATACAGAGATTTAATTTCCAATTTGATTGAAAGTCACACTGTGGGTGAAATAAAATGTGTGCAGGGTCGCAAGCAGGGTCGGGAGCAGGTAGAACCATCAAAATCTTTAAATACATGTCTCAAGAAAATGTGTTTCTGAAAAGAAGAAGAATACAAAACAAATTTTGATGACATTAATAATAGGTTTTTACAGGGCAAGTTTGCCTTAAGAAACATATCGACACACTTAGTAAAATATTGGCCCGCGGGCTTATGCCGTCCAAGTATGCCGGTATCGGAGGATATTGCGAAAAATGGCTGTTTTCATTGAATTAAGCCTCCTGTTACAAGTTCAAACTGCTATGAAACTATAAAAAAATGCTTCAATACTGATCAAGCTCGGCACAAATGTTGGCTGGACCATAGCCTGTGGAATAGCATGCTCAATTTCAAATTTCCAGTTACCATGGCAACGGGAGGACGTCTCAAAATTGCAAAAAAAATCTCTATTTTGCGTTGTTTTCTTTTCCCGTAAAAACTGATTTCAAGTGCAGCAACTTCTCAATTGATTGAGATAAAGTTTAAGGCTTTTCGGCGTTGAATACACGGCATCTTTAAATCGATCTGAGGCCATTATACCCCCGCCCACACAAGTCCCAAATCTCGGCGATTAGAGGGGCTACTGCCCCACTTCAAACCCCCTAACAGAAGGGGCACATCCCCCCTGTGGTACCCCTTTATTGGGGTTTTACACTCTTTGAGGCCTCAAAAGGGTGTGGTGTGAAGCCTTCAAAACACGCCTTTATGAAGTGAAAGGTTATAAGGAACATAACCTTTTTATTGCATCTGCTGTCCTTAATCATAATCTTATTAAAATCCATTATTCGGTTTTTGAGCTGTACATACGGTAACTCGTTGCTTATGACGAAACAATTTTCACGTGCAGACGGTCTGCCGTTGCTAGAGTGCACACAATAAGTATACACAATAAGATATATTTAAGATTAAATGTGGTAAACACTCTGTGTTTACTACTTGTATTTACTCGATATTAATAACCAATACTCGTTACACTAAAGGCAATACTCGTGACACCGGCGGGCAACTCCAACGCAATACTCGGTTCACTGACAGGTGTATTTATTCTCAAAATGCACTGTCATCTGAGGTTCTATTGTTGATTGAACATTTAAAAACATATACATTATCATCATTAACACATTTCACTCGATTCAAGTTTTTCTTTTGAGGAAGTATATGCAGAAAAACATCAAATTTAACTGATCCGAGCTCATTTATCACGTGAGCAAAGAGACAAATTATACCTCCTTATTACATTTCAAAGCTATTTCTCAACATTTTTGGGGTTTCAGTAACTAGAGAAATTATCGAAGTATTTGTTTTGCTATAAAATTTATATCAAACCAATTCAAAATGACTTAATATCGTCAATGAACTTACCTTCTTTCCTCGTTCAAAGTCGCGAAATGGGATGAAAGTCCTCATTATATCGAGCAATATCCGGGGTACGGTTTACCGCAGTGATATTTATAGTATCGAATTGCCGAACGGAAGCGCATAAAAAACGACAGACTGGAACCCAGGCTAATGTATAAACCATAAGCGGTTGATCAAGTGATTCTTGAGTTTCGTGTTATGTCTGGCAAATTAAGTCGTTCTCCCCGATACAGTATACTACAAGTTTGCTTCTTTAAAAAGAAGCATGCGAGAGGTATTTTGCTGCTGTAGAAGATTTGTTTAATTTGAAAATATTTGGGGATATTATATGGCATAAAAGACACAATGAATGGTTATAAATTACAATTATTAAACAAAATAGAATTTATTATATATATTGCAATTAAAGTTTGTTTTACACTTCATCTTTTTTAATGTTTTAAAAGATTATATGCCGGAGTAATGGACTTTTTTTCTTGGCGCATTAGGGATACTTTTTCTAAAAAAAAATTGTAAAATTACTTAATGTAAATTAAATGATATATATCATTTAAAATTTGTATTTTAAATTCAGTTCCCTTTGTAGAAAAAGTATATAATTATATATTAAAAGTAGTATCAAAATAAAAGTTTATAGTAAAGTTCAATAAGCAAATTTTCGGTCACTGTTTTGTTAAATATAATGAAGCATTTCCTCTACATTTTCCAAAACGGGTATAAAGTATAATAATCAAACAAATTTAGTCCAGGGTTTGCATAAAAAATGTTAATATCATTTGATTGGAATAAACAGTATATACTGTTATATACTGTTATACTGTTATATACTGTTTATTGGAATAAACAGTATATAAAGCTGCATGCCTCCAACCACAATATTAGAAGAAAATCAAACTTGAGGTAAAATTTGTGCCATTTGCGCCAAAAAATCTCCCTTTGCGTTATTTAGACATACCGGTTCAATACACGGTTCACTCGGTCATATAATATGTTTGTTTGTTGTTTGTTTCATTGTACGCCTTTTCCCAACAGTATTTTAGTCATATAGGCGGATAGTTTCCTAACCCCAGTACTAGACAACCTTCCTCCACGCTAAACTAACAAAAAAAAAACATCACTCGGGGATCGAACCCACGCCAGAGAGTTAACTTGATAAAAAGTCATCAACTCTAACCCCTCGACCACGGAGGCGATATATAATGTGCATGGTGATATTGTAGCTAAAATGTTTACTGTAACTATTTATCAGAACATGAAATAGTATAGAACACAATACGGTAATCGATTTATACAGTTTAAAAGATTCAACGAAATGAAACATCAACGTAGTGTTAAGTAACGTAAATAAATGATATTTTCCGATTTTTCTATGTACCGATTTGTTCACTTCGATGTTAATTTTTCGTTTAAGTTAAGCCGTATTTTGAAACGGGGCATGCGCAAAACAACTTTTGTAGACTGCTCCTAATGATTTTACGCTTAAAATGAGATTCATTCACTGCAATCAGATACGCAAAAATGGATGCCGCCAGCAATCAGTCTGAACACTATGGAGAGGTCTGATGACCTCTCCAATAATAATTGTGTACCTCTTCAACGTACTTTTATGTATAATAACCATTATCACAAGTTGCATCGATAAATCAAAGTACTGTAAGTACGCATAAAGCGGATCGATAGTGATGAACGAATTGTAATAGCCCTAAATTCGGCGTTCAACTTGTTTGCCCGTTGTGTGTCCTTTGAGTTTATATGCACATTAATTTATTGAAAGTTAATATCTATCTTGCTGGGACCGAAACAATTGAATAAACTAGTCATTAATTTAACCATAATAAAGGATTATACATGTATTTTGCTACAGTTGGAAGTTGAATTGATCTGTCATCCCCTGGCCCAACATCTGCGATACTCTACCGTTGAGACGGGCCATTGCCCTAGTCGTTTGTTAGTCTTCAGGCGACACCATTTTTCGTGTGTTTTTTTGTCAAAGAAAAGCCTTTACAATATCATTAATTAGATGTTTTTATTTGAAAATTCACAATTCTTTTGACTTTTTTAATACATAATTATTAACAAAAAGCTTAATAATTGATGCAACTAGTATTTATGCTGTAGACATATTGATCTGGTTGTAGCATTTCTCGTTAGAGAGTAACGGTCGCTTTATTTATTTAAATACTGAAAAATAGAGAATTTTGACTGAAACGACTAACTGATTTTAGGCTAGATATTTTTCTCACATTTTGAAGTACTTGATGTTTAAAGAATGTGAAAAAAACCAACACAATAACAATGTTTGTATGAAGATGTTAATGTAAATGTAGAAGCTTGCCGAAGACAGTTGTCACTTAGACGTTTGTGCAATCTTTTGTTTAGTAATGCATGATGTAATATTGTCAAAACGTTGAAAATGTTATTCATGAAAAATATCAGTTGTCATTCTGTACTTTATAGCCGGATGCCGGATAGTTGGTCCCTTGTCAGATGTAGAGTAAAGCTGCACCATTTAAATCATTGACATCCATTTATACTCTGTTAACGGAGTCAATGCAAATATATGGCACTATTTCTGACATTTAAAAATATATATCAACTATCAATATTCTTGCCAAATATACATATAATTCTGTCATCATGATACATGATCGTACAATTTCTTATACATGTAAGTACAAGTCATTTTTGTAAATGTACAAGTAAACATATCAAAATCATTTTGTTGTATAAGAGCAGAAAATGCCCTCTCGTTGATTCGACGCTGATATCACAGGAATTATGTAAACCCTTTAAAGTAGTTATATAGTCTCTTCGTACACGTCATAGTTCCACATATATAATTATAATTCTTTGAAACTAATGGCAAACATATAATATAACTGATAAATACGAAGGTAAAGTTGATCAAAGCTTTTACATTCTATAACTGTTAGTAAAATCTTTATACCATGAAACTCGTCTTTGATCATAAACAAATTGGCACATTCTTCAAACAAAATTAGTGATAAATATTGAAGACAAGTTCGTGTTGCTCCTTTTTTGAACTTTTTTCTAAAGCATATTATGATTAATGTTGGGCGCTTTTTTTGAACCAAACTACATTCTTGTTCAATTTAATCATTTATTATGCTATGTTGATTTATCCAGGGTATGAAACATGAAATTACCCCCACCCCACCCTGCCTAATAACAATTTTATCTTTTGAATATCACTTTTAGCTTTGTCACAAAACCTACTTATAGTAAAAATATATCCTGAGCAATACAGCTACAGATTTGTAACAATCTCGTGTGATTTTGAATGTTCTCTGTTAATCTGATTATTATAACGTCATTCATCAGTTATTTTCATATCCAACTGTATGGCATCAATTCAACCCTGTAGCAAATTGTTCCATTTTTCAAGACCATGCCATGAGTCCAGTTGTGCGTTACTTTAGTTTCACCATCAAAATTCTACTTTACTTGACTATTTGTTTTCGTGCTTCCTTTTATTGAAACATTTGAAACACACCCAGTTAATGATTATTTTGAGTCGATAGCACTATTTCAATCACTTCACATCCGCTAATGACATAATGTTTCTGCTTCAACAACATGAGCATTGTTTGTATAACAAACAAACATCCGTCAGAATATAAACAATGTTGGACCGTGTGAGTTCCTAGATGATTATAAATAAGTCCTACATGACGTGTGTCTGTTCTGTTAATTTTCTCGTTCAAATCGAGTATGTTATTCGAATGAAGTCTTTGTAAAAATAACATAAAGGATCACGAACCCTAATGATCGGTAGTTATCGAGTAGTTTCGGGTAATATCATATTTAACCAAAAGCTCCCCGCTTTCTTTTGGCAACTTTCGAAATACCTATTTTAGTACATTTTTGTCACCTTAGCCGTGACATCTTTATCTAAAAATACCAATATGGCAGCCCAAATACATGTTCATTAGGGTCCCTAATCCTTAATATCAAAATGAATATCACATGAAAAACATTTCTCCGTTTCCTGATTGCTAGATTCTCATCACCCACGATGTCGCCGGAAGTGAGGACAAAATCCTGTGAAGATACTGAACTCTCCAGAATGACACGAGGGTAATATACATCTCTCCTCTTTAATGCATCTAAAATATATTAGAAAAATATACATGAAAATACAGAAATGTTAATCTTAAAAGTGTTTGCCTGAAGAGCTGAAAGACTTAAAATTGTAATTCAGGACACTGCAGACTCTGTTGATCAACAACAACAACAACAACAACTACAACAAGAACGTTTTATTGCATTAAAAGGCCTCCGGCCCAAAGTACATTCAAAAATGGCATCAACTTTAGTTATAGTGTAGCGTCGTTATTCATTTCAAATCAATATTATATCTGTTTATGGCAGATAATCAAAGTGCAATATCTCTCAAATCCCTATGACACTTTAAATGACTACTATACATGTATAAAATAAAAAATATAGAAAAACTTACTCTAAATCTTTCTCATCTAAGGGTAATAAACCTTTATGTATTTTATGGCATTTTCTATGTCCGGGTGAGCATATACATTCACAGTCAGCGCCTGGTCGCCGTTTGGTAAACTGTGCCGGGCAATCTTTACGGCAACTTCAATGAAACATTGTATCATTCATTAGTTAATGCCACAGAGATTATCATTACACATTTTTATTCACTGGTTGATAAATTTAATCTAATACCCTTCTTACCATGTCTGTATATGATTACAATATTATGATTTATGATTGCAATGTAATGGTTTATGATTGCAATTATATGGTTTATGATAACAATGTAATAGTTTATGATTGCATTGATATTGTTTATATTAACAATGTTATGGTTTTTGATTTCAATGATATGGTTTATCATAACAATGTTATGGTGTATGATTGCATTGATATGGTTTATCATAACAATGTAATGGTTTTTGATTGCAATGATATGGTTTATGATAACAAAGTTATGGTTTATGATTGCAATAATATGGTTAATCATAACAATGTAATGGTTTTTGATAGCAATGATATGGTTTATCATAACAATGTTATGGTTTATGATTGCATTGATATGGTTTATCATAACAATGTAATGGTTTTTGATTGCAATTATATGGTTAATCATAACAATGTTATGGTTTATGATTGCAATGTTATGGTTTATGATTGCAGTGGTATGGTTTATGATTGCAATAATATGCTTTATTGTTTGGTTTATGATTTCAATGTTCATTTTTGTTCAATATATTTCAGTGTGAAGCTTTTGTTATTTTTGTTTCTCACTATTACATAATTATGTGGTAATTTAGTTCTTTATGATTTATTTTATTATATGGTAATGATAAATAATTTAACAGTGTATCTATTAAATTGAAATAAAACATGTCAATGCATCATCTATAAATTAAAGTTGTAAAAATAAGACAAAAAGCTTCTCCATTATCTACTGTACTTGAATTCAATAAAATAGCAGTAATTATAAGTAGAAATAAAATATTTAAACTAGAAAATATATTAATTTGAATAATTTTTTGGGGATTTTTTTTAATGGTACGAACTGTCTCGAAAAACTAATACTCAAAATAACCCACGTGTAGAGGCAAAACAATTTATAACTTGAAAAGTTATCAAATATAAAACATCACTTTCATCAAAATCAATGTTGACTAAAATATGTTATTGAAGGGCCGAAAACATAACATTCATAAATCAATAAACTATATTTCAGTGTAAACATGTTAACAAAATTAAAGTTATAAATTAGAAAATGACATAAATTAACTAGTTATACTAACTTTGTATTAACATCTACTTTTTGGCACTCACATGCTGTATGATTGATAACAGATTTTGCCGCCACAAGATCTTTTGCTGGGTGAAGATCGTTCGTATCAGGATTTTTTTCTAGCACCTAAAGGATAAGTAGACAGAAAATATATCTTTACACATCTTTCTGCTTTTTCATGAATATGTAAGGACAAAATAGTGAATAACGATCTTTTTTTTTTTTTCAAGTTTATCAAGTTATTGCGTATACATGAACGGGTACTAAATACATGTATAGTGGTCATACACTTTCCATAAGTTACAAGATTTCTTCAAAAATATTAAGTTAAGAAGAAAAACTGAATATAGTGATAAAGAAGGGAAAGTTTTTGATGCCCATAAATCACACATACCATAAAGAATCTGTCTATTACTTCTATTCCATTTTCTTTCTTTGGTGCGCACACATAGCCACGCGGACAGCAAGCCGTGGTATTACTACACCGGTGAACAACGGTACAAGAAGGGAGATAATACCGTATCGAGTCAGAATATGTGTCTTCTATACGCACAATTTCCGGTTTAGGTTCACTGCAGTCCGCCAGCTTGCTTCTCTCAAATTCTAGATAATGCTGATAGGCAATCTCCCTATCTGAAGTAGAAAGATATCCAAATTGATAAGGTTGTTCTATATTTCTTAATGACGTAAAACCTATTGTTTTAACGATGGTAAAAGTTGAAATGTCAAAGTGATATGATTATATAATTGTAGACAAGTGATAAAGGGAGACGCCGTTTATCATGGTACATTTAAGCTTTCGTTCATGCCAAGCATGATCAAGGGTAAACCGCAATGGCGCTGGGTCGTTCACCAGATCTTTTCATCTGCATTCGTTAAAGATGAAACGCTTGACATTGTTACCTCTTGTATGTTTAATGGACACACATCCTGACCAAGTATGATCATTATTTGTCAATTATATGACCCGTAGAATGTGCACAACGTTTTCCTTCGATTTAACCATATAACCTAGTTTATCTAACCTAGATGACCCATCTTTATCACTGCAGATGTTGCTAACAACATTCTGATCATGTTTCCATTTCTTAAATGCCGCATTACTGATCTGTTTCCTAAAATTTGACCTACTGACCTAGTTTTTATCCTAGTTCATCCGTCTTCAAAACCAACCTGTATTAACCAGTATGCGAACACTTTAAACAAGTATCAATTAAATTGGGTCAAGTATATGACCTTCATGGTCTATTTGAAATGATTTGACCTTTTACCTAGCATACCTATTCTGGAATTAACTTCTTTAATAAGTAGCAATTTTGTAGCAATGCCTTCATTTGCCAAAGATAAAAAAGCTAGAAGTCGTTTTTTTATTAAAAAAAAGCATAACTTAAAAAAAGAATTACCGTATGTATTGTATTTGTGTATTTTAATTAGACCATATAAATATTTTACGTTTGAATTTTTATTTTATATTATTTTATTCATGTCTTGTCTAACCAATGAGTACTTTTTTTCTTTATATGGATAGTGTACCGGTATATGTTTATCTAATGGTATTATTTTTGATAAAAGTCATGCATAAAAGAAGGGCTTGATTGGTATTTCTTGTGCTATAAAAATGAAGGGCAGTAACCAGTACAACATTGTTATTAAACTAACACAGCATTTTACTTTCTTTCAGGTTACATACTATTTGTAGCCGACTTGATTTAAATGGTTGATTGTCATAAAAATGTATCTTCAACATTAGATTTTTTTTCTTCCTGCTATCATGAATGTTTCTAAATAAATACTACTTTAGACATAAGATAATACAATAATATTTATAAGAAGGACATACTGTTATATTCGGCATCCCTCATTAAACTCGTATCTAGACTTCTTGACCCGTACTTATTTTTCATGTACATTATGGAATTCACTTGTTCGTCAGTCAAACTAGAATCACTGAAGAATATCTTTAACATTTCAGCGGCACTTTTTGATTTAGCTAAATGCTTTTCAAAATCGTCTTCTGATACACTTCTAAACGGGATATCCTGAAAAAAAGACAATATCTAAATAAATAATCGATTCAATACATCTACTCTTTTTTCTAAAACAAAAACAATAAAAATAACAATAATATAACATAAAATAAAGCTGATATAAACACAGCTTATAAATTCAATGTATTGGACTGCATAACAAAAGCAATTGTAAAGTGGTGTGCATCGCAAAAATAATAATAAATAAATAAATAATGTACAAAACATTAAACATCAGATAATCTTAAATGTATTACAGAAATGTGATTTTTATTGTAAATTTTAGCATTTTAGTATCAAACTGCTTTTTTAATTTTTTTTTTTTGGTCGCGTTTCTAAAACTAGGTTAGCTTAACGCATTTGCAGTGATTTATGATAAAACATATTGAAAACCTTTTCGAGATCATGACAAAACCGTATCAACAGCACACGCTGTACATTGAGCTGAATATAGAGAACTTAATATATGGCATGCTCGTACCACCTTGTGTACGCACGACTTGTGAAGGGAGGTAATTTTGATAGTGACTATTGTTATATACGATAATCATTGACATTTATTTTCTAAATGTAAAAATATCTTTGCAAAATCATCATCAACAACAACTAATAAATAAATAAATAAATAAATAAATAAATAAATAAATAAATAAATAAATAAATAAATAAATAAATAAATAAATAAATAAATAAATAAAAGATATCTGCAAACAACAATAATTTATCTAGAACAGATGGCTTTTATAATACTTATCAACAAGCCGATCAAATGGCATACGAATTTCTTTTAAAAAAAAGTACATTTCTTAAATGTTGATTGTTTTTCAACATAATCAAACTTGAGCTTGAGTATGACACCCCTTAAATGCTTCTTTACTGTAATACCTCTTTTGATTTTGTAACAAACCATCAAGGGGTTTCAAAATCAAAATTACCTTGGTTCGACTCTACGGATGAGCAAACTAGCCTGGCTCTATACTGGTGGCATAGTGTCAACATTCAGTTAAGACTTATTTAAGAAACTCTTAATACATACTGCGGTGAGATGCAAAGTGTGTATTACTAATCAAAATTTTGTCAATGTTAAATCGGGACAATCAAAGATCACTGATCATTTGAAAGATATTTACCTAATTATAGTCAGTCAACCGGCGAAAAATTCATTCGCGACGAGACATATTTGTCATATGGTAAGAGCATGACTTTGTTATTACATAAATAATCGTAAACCGATTGTAGGCATGGAATAATGTAACATTCGCATGAATAATAGCAAAATGGTGTATTGTAGAAGGATACTCTTCCAAACAGATTCTTGTATTAAGGCCTACCCATTTAAAATGATACTGGCAGCAACTTAATATACCCGTTCGGTAAGTGCTGACCAAGCTAATTCGGCGCTTCCGTGCCCTCTGATTATGATCTGCACTGATCGCTATATATTTATTTCATATTTCAAATCAGTCCCTGAAATTTATAAAAAGTTTTGTCCAAATTAAAAGATGGCCAGTCCACTTAAGATATTTATTGGTAACCTATAACTTTTATAGATGTATGAATTCCCAAATATTGGCAGTAGATAAACTCGGAATGTCGAACATGTTCCATCCCTGGTATGTTCCCCGAGCATCACAATATATAAATGCAATGTATATAGATTCATCAAATAAACAAATACGGTGTGACAGATGAAATTGAGATAAAGATAAACTGGCATAAAGCACATTCTAAATCCAATTAAGATAATATATGGGTAACAGAACTAAGTAAATGCAGTTTTTAAGCAGAATTATCTTATCATCATCCTGCAGTGAAAATGTTTTCCTTCCTTGTAGACGCTGTGAAGCTGGTGAAAAAATATTCCCCATAGATGCGTATGTCTGAAGATTATGGTGAAAGGCTTCCATTTGTCAAGGTCAAACAATGATGAAATATATAATATAGGGTATGCTGCCTCTTATTATCTGCCATTTGAAATATCTTATCAAGATTGGCACATTCGCCATCTGTTGATAAAGTTCCTTTCGCTATACAGCAGTTTATCTGATAAAACAAACAGACACACACTTTGTTTACATTGCTCCTTCTGTACTGCCAAGATTGCTCATTTATCAAAATACGTATTGGTAGGTAAAATCTCGTCTTGGTTTACTTTTTTAATTTAAGTGAATTTATTTATAAAACTTGAGTTTCAAGAAAATGCTAATTCTTTCAATTCACCCTTTAGTTCAAGTAGTTTGATATCTTTATAATGAAATCTAAAAAATAACAAAATTCTCAAATAACTCTCTGTATTTAAATTTAAGAAGATTGTTTTATTATTATATAGACTGTTTTCATCCTTTTCTAAATACGTAGTTTTAGATACAAGTACATTGTGAGGGACAATTCAAGTTCATATTTTCTTCACGAACTATGTTTTTTTGGTTTTTGCTTCACTTTACATAAAATGTATTATTTTATTAGAAAAGTTCTGTGTGTTTGCCTCTGTGTGTGTGCTAACTTTTAGACACTGTGTGTATGATTAAATATGATATCATTATCACCTATCGTCATGTTATCGTACATTAATTACTTTTAGATTATTTTCATCTTCTCGAATCAGCTAATAGACGTAAATCTATTTAATAACGTTAGACTAAAAACACGTGCGTAGGATTTAAATGATCATATTCGAGGGTATATCTGTAATGATCACAAATGACTTACAACAGTTTGCTAATATTCTCAATCCCAAAACCTACTTATAATATTAATAAATGGCTCAGTACATTACACTCACTCTAAATTGTTATAAAACATTTCCAAAATTATATCCCATGGCTCATCATAAACGTTTAGCTACACAATAATTACTGTTTAATCCAAAAACCAAAATAACAAAATTTGCAACATTTTGAAATAAGAAAACGCAAGATTTGAATTCACTTTGCTTTTGGCTTTCTGAAACACACGGTTGGCAGCATGGTCCTTTTCCTTTGTTACTTAATTAAATTAACATATATGTCATTTATATGTTTTTAATGTTGCCAAAAGCTTTTATAATATGTTTTAATATGAATTGATGTATTCTTTTATTTTTTATTCTCAAGTTTACGTTTGAACAAAGGCGGTACGAACATCGTGATTATTTTAATTGTCAACGTTGTTATTATACATATATGTAGAGGGGAGTAATTGTGTTAATTAGAATAACAAATCAATTTTTAAAATAAGTAAAATTTAAATAAATTTAAATGCACAGAAAACAAACTGAGACCCTTTTTATGGTCATACAAAACAAGAATGTAGAATATAATTATTGCCTGTACTTAACACTAGCTTACTGTGACACAAGTGAAGACTGTTATAATTAAATATCAAATGTAATTCATCATGGTTTGGAGAGGATATTCCTGTTAAGGGAAAGAATCTATTTTAATGACAAGGAAATACAAATGAGTGTTTTAAGATATGCATTTTAAACAAACATAATGTCGCGCAATACCTATAACAAATTTCCGTCAGTCGCTTTTCAAGACAAATCAAATGATATATTGTGGTTGTTGTAACAATCATTTGTGAGCAAGTGATGTGTGTGACAAACGATTTGTGTGTTATAAATGTTTCCATTATATTATATCCTATATCATGCAATTAACAAAATGTGAAGAAAATTAAACAACAGTAAAAAAAAGTTGATTAGGTGAATTATCAAATTCTTTCATACATACTCATATAAAGCAAAATATTATTATAGCACAAAAGATTTTATTAGTTTTCATGTAGATGATATAATTATGAGAGATTTGTTTATCATATCATATTTCATGTATATAATATATTGGTAATGACCATAAAAAGTGCGACCAGGGGAGGTAACAATTGCTATGGGAAAAGCATCTATAGCAATGCATCTATTATGATCATATGTGTGTATTATTACCGATCACGATATGTTTATTAACATAATTGTTTTATCATAATTATTGACTTTGCGTTATGTGTGTTATAATTGTTAGAATAGTGATGTCTGGTTTTATTTCAATTGGACTAGCGATATGTTAAACATGCTTTGTTCATGTAATACCGGATATAATTGTCGAAATAGCGGTGTGTTGAATGTTATAATTGTTGTGAAAAAGCTATATATTTGTTATAATTGTTGAAATAGCGATGTATTTATTATAATTTTCGAAATAGTGATGTATTTGTTATTATTGTTGAAATAGCGATGAACTGTATTTGTTATGATTATTCAAATAACGATGTATTTGTAATGATTGTTGAAATAGCGATGTATTTATTATAATTTTCGAAATAGCGATGTATTTGTTATTATTGTTGAAATAGCGATGAACTGTATTTGTTATGATTATTGAAATAGCGATGTATTGAATGTTATAATTGTTGAAATAACGATGTATTTGTTATGATTGTTGAAATAGCGATGTATTTGTATGTTATAATTGTTGAAATAGCGATGCAGTTGTTATGATTGTTGAAATAGCGATGTATTTATTATTATTGTTGTTGAAATAACGATGTATTTGTTATGACTGTTGAAATAGCGATGTTTTTATTACAATTGCTGTTGAAATAGCGATGCAGTTGTTATGATTGTTGAAATAACGATGTATTTGTTATGATTGTTGAAAAAGCGATGTATTTATTATTATTGTTGTTGAAATAGCGATGCAGTTGTTATGATTGTTGAAATAGCGATGTTTATTATTATGATTATTGAAATAATGATGTATTTGTTATAATTGTTGAAATAGCGATGTATTTATTATAATTGTTGTTGTTGAAATAGCGATGCAGTTGTTATGATTATTGAAATAGCGATGTATTTATTATTATTGTTGTTGTTGAAATAACGATGTATTTGTTGTTGAAATAGCGATGCAGTTGTTATGATTGTTGAAATAGCGATGTATTTATTATTGTTGTTGTTGAAATAACGATGTATTTGTTATGTGTTGAAATAGCGATGTTTTTATTATAATTGCTGTTGAAATAGCGATGCAGTT